TTATTTAATTTTTAAAAAATAATTTAAGTAAATATATAAATTATTTTTAAATTTTTGATTTAAAAAATTTTAAAAATAATAATTATTTTGAGATAAGGAGGATATAAACTAATTTCATTTGAGCGGTGAAACTGAAGTGGACTAAATGTCTATTTGGTAAAAAAGGTCGACCAAATGTTAAAACTCTTTTTCTGAGGGTAAAACATCGGTACAGCTCACAACTACCACGCGGAATAATAACCATCTGACGCAGACTCATCCTGATCCACTCCAGGACAAGAGTCCAAATTCACCTGATCAGGCCGGCCTAGGTAAAAACTTTTGTTGGGCCCCATTTACCACGAAGCCCCAAACCATTCACATGTGGACTGCCGCTTGGGCTCAGGCCCCTAGCAAAAGTACAAACACGTGGGGGTGATATTCTGCCTCAAGGTACACAACATTTTGCTGGTCCTGACCTCTCCTTTCATCCCCCGTTACAATTTGGGATGTGCAATTAAAGGCTTAGGGTTACTAAAAGAAAGCAATGCACATTAAAATACGAGAAAAGGAAACATTAAGATGTTTTATTATTAAAAATGTTAGAATAAATTAATTATAATTATTAAATATGTAAAGTATGATGTGAGTTCTAATTTTATTAAATTTATTATGATTGTGTTTAAGAATTTAAATTTGAATTTGAAGAGTGTATTTAAAATACATATATTTAAAATGCATGTAATTTAAATACATGTATTTTACATACTTATTAAAATATACAATTTAAATAAATTAAATTACTATAAATTTAAAATTGAATTGATATTAATTTTTTTTATTAAGACATTTTTACAAACACTTAATAGACAATCTTAATTACTTATGTTATTAACCTTATTTCTTTCCATCTGTTTGAAGTATTGGGTCAAAAAACTCAAAATATCATAATTCCAATGAGGCAATTTATCAAATAGGTGGTGTGCAAATCGAATCTACAGAGAAATAACCCTCGCCATCCACATTGACCTCCATTACGCGAGTGCCGAGTTCTCCTTTCTCCGACTTTGTGGTCTTTGCTTCCTCCTCAAATCTCTTTGATCCATTGCCTAGTCCGATTCCACTATCCTCCTCTTTTGCCACACACAATCCATCCCTGAGCTTCGAGGTTCTTTGACTTCCACTCCACCGATTCCATTTTATTTTTCTTTTTTAATTGATACGATGAAATACCAAAATTAAGAATTGAAATTCATAGGGTAAATAGG